TCCGCAGGCATCCTAGGTCCCCGCAGGCTCGCACTGACGGTGACAGTTAACGTGAAAGTCTCGCTGTTCTGCTCTCCCTCGGTCTGTTCACCTGGAAACGAGCAGAGTGCCCCCCGTCTCCTAGCGGTTTGGTCAGTGTCACACGGAGCAGCTCCCTCTAAGCTCAGCCCTTCTGCTGGGGCAGCTGCTGAAACACCTCCCAACGTCAGCCTTGTCACAGTCCCACAGTCCTGCATCCCAACCGTCCGCATGGAGAGGATGTGCTGCAGTCAGCAGCCAAGGCAAAGGTGAGCGTCTGCCGTCTGTTACATGGGGAACTCAGCCTGGGACCCGTGTGGTCCTTCTTACTCTGCCGAAGCTGGAGAACCTCTGAAACAGGCTGAAGGAAGGCGCAAACGGAAGTCTCCAGGGAGACTGGGCACCCAAACTTTCCCCTCCCCCCACCCCCGTGAGACAGCGGCCGTCCCAGGATGAACAGACCAGTGTGCCTGCACACAATTCTGTGACCCCAGGTTGCACTGTGAGGGTTTTTCTTCTTTTCTTGATTAATCCCATCATTGACTCATACCAAAACGTATTTCCCAAAGATCTTCAGTTTGCACGACGTTAATTTTGTTGAAATGTGCAACGCTGTATGTATTTACTGAAAACCCAAATGAGTCTTCTTAAAGAGCAGGGGTTGTCATCGCGTCCACAGAACCAGACTCCCAGGCAGACAGCAGGAGAGTAAAGTGAACCGAGGAGAAAGAACGTCTGGTGGTCACGATGGACAGGCTGAAATGCAACAAACCTGCTGCCCTGAATCGAACCGAACCAACCATCAGGACCATTGGTCAGCACAGTTTCCGGAAGACATGCCAACCTCATGCACGCGGCCCCCTGAAGCACTGAGGGCTTTACAAATAACCAGAAGAGCCCAATGGGTGACTCTGCCCACGCAGCTCTGGCCTCTGGTCCCTAAGCAGAATTTCTTCCATTAATGTGACTGCTCCTTCTGCAGCCACTGGCTCTGACCACGGCTCCGGTCAAGCCTGGCCTTCCTGCAGCGGCCATCGTGTCCGCGTGAAGGCCCCGCCCAGCGGTCCCACCTAGAAACCTACAAGTCTGTCCCTCGCCTCCACGTCCCGCAGGCACCCAGCCCGGCCTCCCTCCACCGGCAGAGCGCCTTCCTGGCCCAGGCTCCCAATGTCCGTTACCCGAGCCATCAGGGTGCCCTCCTAATGGTGCCACCCGAGCCATCAGGGTGCCCTCCTAATGGTGCCACCCGAGCCATCAGGGTGCCCTCCTAAATGCTCCACTCCCGCTCCCCACTAACCCCGCTCTGCACAGCAGCCCAGGACCTGAAAACCCAGTCCATCGTGTCTGCTACGTGACCTTGGCACCTGCTGCCTTTCCCTCCCACTCATGACAGAGCCCACCCTGCCTGCCAGGCCTGTTCCTCTGGACCTGGCCCCTGCCACCCGCTCCAGCTGCAGAAAGACCACTGACCCCATCAGGCCTCTCCTCTGACCTGTACGGCCCCAGCTCAGCGTTTCTGCAGAGAATCACACCTCCTCAGCCCTCAGTGTGGGGAGCCTGACCCTCCCAGGAAGCCTGAGCAATCCCTCCACCTCCATTTGCTCCCTTGTTGCACCCCCTACAGTACGGTCAGTAGAATAATGCCCCCCAAAGATATCGAATCGTTGGAACCTGTGATTGTTTTACCTCACATGGCAAGCAGGACTACGCAGATGTGATTAAGAATCCTGAAATGAGGAAACTGCCCGGGGTGTCCAGATGGGGCTGACGTAATCACAAGAGTCCTTAAAAGCAGGGGATGTTCCTGGTTGGTGGTCACAGAGATCCGGGAGGACAGAGGACTGGTCAGAAAGAAGCAAGCTCGCTGGCTGCCGCTGGATTTTAAACATGCAATAGCTGACTCTCTAGTCAGAGGCATTAAGGGACAATCTTCTCCCTTCGATTGCCAAATAAAAAATGACAAGAGTAATCATGTGCGAATAAGTCAAAATTATACTTATTTTGTCATATCAGAAAAAAATATATATCAATTTGGTGTGCCATTGAATTATAGTAGTTTGTGCACTAGGAGATGAAAATAGTTGAAAATCGCTGTCCTAGAGCCTCCAAAAGGAATGAAATCATGCCTACAACTTGCTTTAGCCTGGTGAGACCAACGTTGAATTTCTGACTTACAGATCTTAAAATCTGCATTGTTATAAAACCACCGAGTTTTGTGCTAATTTTTGTCATAGCACCACAGGACACTAACGCACAATATCTGTGGTATCTGTCACCCCTATAATATCGGTAATTACTTATCTCATATGGTGGTTAAAAACCACAAGCTCTAGTGTCAAAGCAAGGCAAGCTCCCCTTGCCCACTCAATAGCCAGGTGGCTTTGGGCAAGTTAACTGAACAAGCATGGTAAGATGCAACACGCTGATCTGTAAGAAGCAATGATACTGCCGAAACCAGTTTGACTCAGTGGAAGAGCGTCGGTCTGCGGACTGAAAGGTCCCAGGTTCGATTCCGGTCAAGGGCATGTACCTTGGTTGCGGGCACATCTCCAGTGGGGGGTGTGCAAGAGGCAGCTGGTCGATGTTTCTCTCTTATCAACGGTTCTAGCTCTCTGTCCCTCTCCCTTCCTCTCTGTGAAAAATCAATAAAATATATTTTTTTTTAAAAAGAAGCGATGATACTGCTCACCTCCAAGGATGGTGCTGGGTTTCAGGAAGATCATGTGAACACACACTTAGCAGAATGACCAGCACAGAGCAAGCCTCCAGTACTGCTTCCTGTCCCCACAAGGTTACAAATTCTGAAACAAGAGGCACCATAACTTTATTGCTCACCACTGCATTTCCAGGGACAAGCACAGAGCTGGCAGAGAGGATGGTCAACAAAGAGAGAATGGACAAATGAATGATGTGTTTATATGGACACACTACTTTAAGTGCCAAGTTACCGGAGGCATAATTCAAGCAGCTCAACACAATGGAACAGTGCTACACGTGCTCGGCGTTCTGTGCCGATGAGTTTACAGTTGCCGGGGTGCCCAGCAGGTACCGATGGTGACAGCATGAGCTTTTGAAAGGTACACGAGAGGAAACTGGCATCTGCCCTGGGTGATCCTGGAGGTGAGAATGAGAGGGTCTTGGCCTAGGCGCGCTTGTTCCATCGGACAAGAGCAGAGAGAATCATGCTGGGGCGTGGCGAGCGGCCTTGGCAAAGGCAGCGAGGCAGGCAGATTGAAGATGCAATCCGTTGGGGTAACTTGGACTCTGGGGAAGTAACGCTGGGGAGTAAGGGACACACGCCTGCCATGGAACACTGTGGACCATCCCCCATGGCAAAGGGAGGGTCCGGGAAGATTTATGACCAGGAAGTAACACAAGGAGACAAGTGTCCAGACAACGGCTGTCCCATCCGACACACGGTTGGGGCTTCGAGTCCCGGTTAGAACAAATAGAAAAGTCTGGTGGAAATACATTAGGAAGTTTCTTATCTGCACTTTCAAAACCACTTTGGAATTTGTTTTCAAGGTGCGGTCTGGACTCTTGCCTTGTCTCGGTAGTCAGCCCGCTCTGTTCATAGACCGGTTAGCAGTCACTGCCCTCTGGCCCCTGGGCTGGTGGCTCCTGTGCTGGTGGCTCTCACAGGAACTCTCCGAACGTCTCCCGAGCTCTGCAGTGCGACATCTGGAGCTTATCTCAGGGTGTTGAGACTGAAATGTAGAATAAGGTGGGTCCTCGGAGTCCTTCCCAAGAACCCCAAAATCTTGGTCTGTGTGATAACCTTCCCTCCTGACAAAGACCGGCCTCCCTAACGGAAGAGTATTGTCCCATCAGCTGTGACACAAACATGGGGACCTAGCCCAGCCCTCTCCTGGGAATCTCAACTCAAAGCCAGGCAGGTAGAGGCGGCCTTTCCCTATCCGGGCTTTGTGATGCCAAACGGTGATACAACATTCGCTCAGAAAGCAGCCAACTGGCTATCCTTCCATTCCAGATAGCACCCAAATACTCCCCAAGTCCTTCTCGAAACGAGTCGTATGCACTTTTGAAAAGTCTTAAATGTTTCCAAACTCTTTTGAAATCTGTAGTGATTGATACAGGTTTTAAGTTTAGTATTACTGTTCCTGTCACATGTTCATCTGATTTCCAATCTTTTGTGGTGTCCTTGATTAGCAAGGAACTCGATTTTAGCTTTTATTGGGGGCCTTTGAATGTAGCAAAATGTTGAAATGACTCATTAATCATAATAAACGACTTCAAAGGGATCCGAGTTAGACTCCGGGTTTCGGAAGAGCGTACGAGACAGGCAACTTCTTGTATTTCAATTCCAGGACAATGAGCCCACTGGAGGCATTTGCTAAAAACGCCTAATGAGTATGTTAGTCACATCTCAACATCATCTGTTGTCCACATGTTCACGTCCAGATATTGCATTTCACCCAACATCCATTTATTATGTAGCAAGATAGAGGCGAGGCTGTTCATTTCTACTGATCCATCCCCTGAGCTGTAAAAGAAAAACAAAGTGAATTCCTTCGGGCTGGAGTCTGACCAAAACCAGAGGCCTGGCTCGTGTCCCTGGCTGGAGCTTTGTCTGTACGGGGGCTCCGGTTTGAAACAAAGTTGAAGTCCATCAAGTGACTGTGTTGTTTTGTTTGCTCTGGGTTCCTGTTGGCTCTTGCTTGCAGTGGAGGAATTCGGGTCGCCTTAGTGCAGGGCTTCACGCAAGGAGACCTGGGAGCTGTCCCTTAGGGACCCCAGCCCCATGGCTCACCACTGACAGGTCTTACAGGCCAAAGACCATGAGCATGCATGAGTAAGGGGTTCGGAGTCATGGGTGTGGATTTGGCCAGTTTTCCGTGCAAACTTCAGTTCTTTTCTTCCTCTCATCTGGCTCCCGGTGGCATCGCGTCCAGGGTCTCGGTGGCCGTGGCCAGGGGGTGTTTTCTGATCTGGCCCCGACTCTGCCTGGCGCCCCGAAGCTCTCAGCAGCCATCGCTGGGAGGCCCGCCTCCCCCGCCCTCCTCCTCCGCGGCCGGGCGCCGCTGCAGCTTGGCCAGCAGCTCCTTGGCCGGGTTGAAGACGCCGTGGGTCTGCCGGCCGCACACGAAGCAGCGCGGGGTGGCGCGGTAGCGCTGCAGCGCGCAGGCCTCGCAGAAGTAGTGGCGGCAGCGGGTGACCACGGGGCTCCGGAAGGGCCGGCGGCAGAGGAGGCAGCCGAAGGGCGCCTCGGGGGCCGCCGCGCCGTCCGCCACCTCGAAGCTCTCGGCCTCGGCGGCGCCGTAGCGGCCCTCGGCCAGCTCGCGCGCGATCTGCCAGCCGTGCTTGTAGTCGGAGCGGTCGTGCAGGAACTTGCAGCTGTGGCCGAAGCCGCAGAAGCCCGTCTCCTTGTAGTCCTTGCACAGGTCGGGCTGGTAGTCCCAGCGCACCGTGGCGCGCAGGTGCTCGGGCGCGCGCAGGGGGCCCTTGCGGCCCAGGCCCAGCGAGGCGGGGCCGCCCGCGTCCCGGGGCTGCAGGCGCGGCTGGTAGCCCCGGAGGCCGCGGTAGACCGGGCCGCCGGCCGCCGCGCCCCCCGGCGCCTCCCGGGGCTCCCGGCCGCGCGCACCGGCCGCCTGGGCGGCGCGCTCCCTCTCGGGGTCCGGCTCCGCCACGGCGGTGGCCCCCATGTCCTCGGGCCCCACGGGCTTGGCGGAGCGCGTGGACTTGTAGAGCACGCGGGGCGCCGCGCTCTCCTCCTCCTCCTCCTCCTCCTCCTCGGCCTCCGCCTCGCGGGCCGCCCTCCGGCGCCTGCCGCGTGTCCTCTGGTCCAGCGGCCCACGGGCCGCCCGCTTCCCTCCGGGGCGCACCACGCAGCTGCCCTCGTCGCCGCTGTCCCCGGGCTCGGGGGCCCCCTCCCCGCGCTGCCTGCGGCCCGCGGCCCGGCGCCCCGGCTTCCTGAACAGGAAGGCGCACACCCGGCCCGCGGCCTCGGCGGGAGGAAGCCGCTCCGCCATCGCCTGCCTCCAACGGCTGCGCCAGCGGTCACGTGGGGGTCACGTGGTGTGTCAGCGGTCACGTGGACGGCGTCACGTGGTGCGCTGGGAAGGGACCGGAAGAGGCGGGACGGGTGGCTCCATGAGACAGGAAATGGGAGCAGGACCCGCTGCGGAGAGCCCTGCCGGAAGTCCTTAGGTGATTTTTTTTTAATTCGTTTTATTGATTTTTTTACAAAGAGGAAGGGAGAGGGACAGAGAGCTAGAAACACTGATGAGAGAGGAACATCGACCAGCTGCCCCCGGACCCAGGCCCTGACCACCTGTGTGTGTGTGTGTGTGTGTGTGTGTGTTTAATGTCTTTATTGATTAAGGTATTACATAAGTGTCCTCATCCCCCCACTGTATTTATTTTTAAGTATATATATTTTATTGATTTTTTTGCACAGCGGAAGGGAGAGGGACAGAGAGAAACATGGATGAGAGGGAAACATCGATTAGCTGTCTCCTGCACACCCCCTGCAGGGGATATTCTGGCAACCAAGGTACATGCCTTTGACCGGAATCAATTCTGGGGCCCTTGAGTCCACAGGCCGATGCACTATCCACTGGGCCACACCGTTTTTGGCTCAGATGTTTTTTTTTCATGTTGTTAAGATGTCAGATGTGAAGACAGACCCGGAGCAGGGAGGCCTGGACCAAGCTGGCATCCTCCCTCCTAACCGGGAGGTGCGGACCCGGGTCGGGGGACGGGAGTCCAGGAAGACGGAGACCACGGGAGAGCGCAGGCTTTGGAAACAAGTAATCGTGTGTGTGTGTGTGTGTGTGTGTGTGTGTGTGTGTGTGTGTTTAATTTAAAAATAAAAGTGAGGCCTGACTTGAGTCTTAAAAGTGTTAAGGTTCCCGGGTGAGAAGGGAAAAAGGGGGGCACAGTCTAGCGGAGGGGGCAGCACGGGCCAGGCCGCTGCAGGGAGCGCACGGGGCTGGGCCAGCAGCAAGAGGCCGATGGGGTCCTTGAGCCGGAGGGCGCAGAGGAGAGAACAGAGCGGGAGGGCCCTGAGGAGGGAGATGGATCACAGTGGTGAGGGCGGGATGAGGGCGACAGGGGTTCGAGGAAGAATCTGGGTTTCCAGCCTGAATGGTCCTGGGACTTCGTCCCGCATGTGATGGGAACAGACGCAGGGGAGGAGGCAGCCCAGGAGAGGGCGGCCGGTGGGCCACACGGGGTGAGGTGTCTGGCAGACAGCAGGCTGGTTCCAGCTGCAGACAGAGCAGAGCCGAGCCTGGGCCTCCCAGCCCGCACAGGGATGGAGGGGAGCGGGTTCCCGTGCAGGCGGTCAACAGGCCAGGCGTGGAGGAGGCGTGGCTGTGACCCAGCTGAGAGAGGACCACACGGACCTGTTGACCCCAGAACCAGGCACACCGTTCAGATGGAAGAAACTCGCTCTGAGAGCAGGACACAAAGGCACCAACAACACTGACAGGCAGCTAACGATGGAGGAGCCACTCGCTGGCCACCGCGCCATGCCAGTCATTCCACCAACGGCCATCCTAACCATCGGGCCCAGTGGTCAGCAAACTCATTAGTAGTCCACAGAGCCAAATACCAACAGCACAACGATTGACATCTCTTTGGAGAGCCACATTTTTTCAACTTAAACTTCTTCTAACGCCACTTCTTCAACATAGACTCACCCAGGCCGTGGTGTTCTGTGGAAGAGCCACACTCAAGGGGCCAAAGAGCCACATGTGGCTTGCGAGCCGCAGTTTGCCGACCACGGGATCGGGTGACCCGTGGCCTTAGCACCTGCCGATGCGTGGGAATGTCCTCCCAGAACCACCAGCGAGTCGGAGCGAGGCTGCCCGCGTTCCGAGTCCAGGTTCCAGGCCTGGAACATTCCAGCGGGCACGGCGACAGGAAGGGCAATGCCATCCGCAGAGCAAGTGGCTACCCGAAGGGGCTGCAGGAAGCGCTGAAGCCCTCCGGCGCTGAGCAAAGCACGCTGCCCTGGGGGGAGGGAGACACGGACTGGGCAGCAGGGACGGCGCCGGGAGCTTCCTCCCGGGTGTGCGGGCGCTCAGAGCCCCCGTCGCCACGTCCATACACGTAGCGAGTGGGTGGCATCACCCGATGGGCGCCAGCGCGCTGACGCCGCCTGGACAGAAGCCTGCGGGACGCAGGTCTGGCACTCAGAGGCCCCGGCGAACCGGCCGGCATTCCCGCGCCCGGAGCTCCCTAAAACACTGAACGTCTGGGGCTTTCTGGTCGTCGGTTATTAAATGGAGCGACTCACGCGGCCCAAGTCTACGGACCCACGGGCTTGCTGACCACCCTCCGTGGAAAGCCGGTGGCAGCGGGACAGTGACCGGGGCTGGGAGGAGGAGCAGGGCCTTGGCCGCCGTTAACCCTTAATGACAGGCGAGAGGCTCATTCATGGCTCCCTCCCCTCTTCCCCCCCCCACCCCCCGCCCTCCCCCGGGAGGCTGTGTCCTTCTTTCCTTTCCCGGTCATGTTTCCGGCTGACACGTGGTAATTGATTCCGCCGCTGGTTAGACGGTGTTAAGTGGGTGGGATGGGGTTTCAGTGAAAACAAATAGCACTTCACGGCCTGACCTTTCCTCCGGAGCTTCTGTTGTGGTCGGCGCTGGGGTGCGCGGTCCCAGGCGGGGCGGCCCGTCCTGTCTGTGTCTGCAGCCCCGTTCACCTTCACCCGCGCCCGGCGAGCCCACGGCTGCAGGGCCACGCGGTGTCACGTCCGGCCCGATGACAGCTCGGCGGCAGCTGGGGGCTCAGAGTCACACCAGGAGCTGGGGTCCGAGAGGCAGAGGCTGAGCACAGCCCGGCCTCTGGGGACAGCATGCCACCGTGGCCAGGACTCGCGCCCGGAAGATGACAAAAGCGAACCTCCGGAGAGGACCCTGGTGCCCGGGCTGCCTCCGTCCGCGCTGTGTCAGCATCCGCTCCGTCCACCAAAGGAGGCGCAGCGCTGACCCTGGTCCCATAGGAAGCCCAGCGCGGCCGGGACGGTGAGCTCCCGTTGTCACGGGGTCTCTGCCAGCTCCGGCCTGCAGGCCTGCGGGGTGCGCCCGGCGGGGAGGCTGCCGCCTCTGCAGGTGCTGCCGGGGCCGGGGGCCTCACCTGGGCAAGAGCCTTCCCTGCAGCAGCTGCCATCCCTCCTGGTGGACAGGTCAGAGCCCGGCCCTGCCTTCTGCCCAGCCCAGCAGGCTGTGAAGGCCACCCGGCTTGTACAGGATGGCGCCAGCACTGTCCACCTCTCTGCAGCGCCCCCCCCAGCTCACCCCTAACCTCCCTCCCAGCTCACCCCTAACCTCCCTCCCAGCTCACCCCTAACCGCCCTCCCCAGCTCACCCCTAACCGCCCTCCCCAGCACCCCCTAGAGGCGGATCGGCGTGCTGCGGGGCCCGGGGCTCTGGGCAGCCGGAGAAGCGATGGCCATGTGGAGTGAGGCAGACATGCCAGGACCCTGGCAGACGCGAAGGCAGAGCCAAAGGCTCAGGAAGCAGCGGCTGGAATGGCCACGCTGTGGAAAGCCAGGGTGCCCAGCACGGCTCTTTCCCGGGAAGGGCCAGGTGTGCGCCTGCTGCCTAACCAATGGGGAGCTGCTAGGGGAGCTGCCCATCCCTGGCGTCTCGGTGGTGCCCGTCTCTGCCGGGCAGGGCTGATGGTAGGAGACACCAGCACAGCAGTCGGCCGCTGGTAACCATGACGACGATAGGACCCAAAACAGCAGCACCACCGCCATGCCCAGCTGTCAGGAGCAGACAGATAAGTATCCTGATGAGCAGAAAGGTCAGAGTGCATCTTGTGGGGTCACCCAGGCAGGATGGTGGGAGAACAGCACCCCTAGGGGCCGGGCAGAGCCCCCGCCAGGGCCTCGCTCAGCATGCGCTTCAGAGGGATCCGCACCGGAGACCAGGGGCTGGGGGAGCGAGCCCTCCGCCCTCACCCTGGTCCCGGATGCATGACGGCGGGGGAGGGGGGTACCTGACAGCGGCAGCAAACGCCCACGTGGAGCACAGCTGTCCCGGAGGGGGAGTCACTGCCCCCCTCCCGGCCGAGGCAGGAAGTCAGATACACAGCCTCCCTCCCATCCCATCGCCAGTTATTCACCAGCCGGTCCCTGTGGAGACCAGGCGGGCGAGGGCACAGGCTCCCTCAGGCCACGGCGGGCACCGCCAGGTGGTGCTCAGGTGCCGTGTGCAGCCTCCACGAGCCATGTCCTTCCCCTCCCCCTCCACAGGGGTCCCCAGGCCCAGACAGCGGTGCTGGGGCCGCCCCCCTCCACCAGCTGACATCTGGGAGCCTCAGCGGTGACGGCATCAGGGAAGTCAGACCTGATGAATCCCAGGTGCCAAGGCGGGGCCCTCGGAGGCACCTCAGGCAACAAGACGGCAGGAAACGGCCCTGAGAAGAGGCGGAGGCCCCACCAGTGCCCCTTCCAACGCCCAGGCCTGGCCGTGCTGGGAGGGCTCAGCTCAAGGACAGACGCCGGCCTCGCCCCTCCTCACACACAGCCATTCCACAGCCGGGACATGGTTCGTACCCGGGTCACAGAGAGACCAGGCTGAGCGGGGCCAGAGCAGGAAAAGGCTCTCTGAGGGTCCCCCTGCAGGCAGCGCACCCCCGCCCGCCCCCCCTGAGCCTGTGCCGCAGCCCCACAGAGCCAGAGGTCCTGGCGATGGGTGACTTTTCCCCCTAAAGAAAATCAGCACATCGAGCTTCATCATTAATTATATAATGTAGTCCGTCCAGAAGCAATCTAAAATACTGGAGAGAAATAAAAATCAGGGAGCGTTGAAGTGGTAAACATTCATTCTCCCGCAAAGTGGAAGCTCAGTGGAACGCTGTCATAAAAGCGGTTATTCCCGAAGCGCGAAGCTGACAAGACGGACTCACAAGGAACTCTTTCCAAAAGAGGCCCACGCCCTGGCCGGTGGCTCAGTGGCTGGAGCATTGCCCCCGGGCACCAGAAGGTGTGGGCTCAACTCCTGGTCCGGCA